CTGCCACTTGTAACTGTGGCATCCTCAGTCCAAGTGCCAGTTCAAGTCCCAGGAACTTCTGCCTCTAATCCAACTCTGTGCTCATGTGCCTGGCAAGTAACTGGGTCTCTGATACTCACGTGGGAGACCCGTGTTGATTTCTCGGCTCCTGACTTTAGCCCCTAGCCCATGGCAATTGTGACCGTTAGGGGAATGACCCAGTAAATGAGAAATCTCTCCCTCTCTCTGTGTAGCTTTACCTTTCAAGTAAGTAAATCCTTATGCTTTTAAAAATGGTAGTTTGGTTAGATTAGTCTCAAATTTTAGATCTGAATGCAGTTGACATCAAGGTATTTCAAAAACCTCTATGGGAAAACAAAGATAAATTTTTTTGTGTATATTTTTTAAAAGATTTATTTTTGTTGGCAAGTTAGATATACAGAGACGGGGAGAGACAGAGAAAGATCTTCTGTCTGTTGATTCACTCCCCAAGCAGCCGCAATGGCCAGAGCTGCACCAATCCAAAGCCAGGAGCCTCTTCCGGGTCTCCCACACGGGTGCAGGGTCCCAAGGCTTTGGGCTGTCCTTCACTGCTTTCCCAGGCCACAAACAGGGAACTGGATGGAAAATGGGACTGCTGGGATTAGAACCTGCGCCCATATGAGATCTAGTATGTGCAGTGTGAGGATTTCAATCACTAGGCTACTGTGCTGGGCCCTTTTGTTGTATTTTTTTTTAAATGCTTACATACAAGGGTCTTCAAATGGAAAATGCATATTATGAAAAAACTATGCTTAGATTTCAAACAATTTTGTACCACAACAAACTTATTCTTTTAATTCCATTATCTACCTGCCTCGTGAAATACCTTTATACCATATTCCTCATTGTATAGTTGAGGAAATCAAAGACCATAGAAGTTATTCTGTTTGCCTGAGATCCCAGCAATAAGACCTAGATATCACTTCTCTTACTATCCAGGCCACTTTGATAAGAAATCATGTTGAAGCAAAACTCTGAATTTGGGCATCTTTACTAAAGAGGCAACCTGGTTTTTGTTGCTATAGTAACAAAACACACTTGAGATTTTTGACAAGTATACCCTTACCTGTGCCAGTTGGAAAAAGAGCCATTGAGCCGATCTCTATGGTGATTCAAAACACTTTAGATGGATCCTGTCACATGCTTTATAAGTTCCTGATTGATTGCGTGGAATTAAGTTATTGGGCAGAGAACCAGCTAATGGAAACACATTGATGAAATCATTTTTGAGGGGCATTAAATGGAACTTAAAATAAAGCTGAAATGGCTTTATGGATTTTTCAGTCAAACTGTTTATGAACATTTATTGCTAGTAAATTATATTGTGTCAAAAGAGAGAATCAGTAGGTATGTTTTAATAGAAATGTTTTTGAAATAATAAAATTGAGAATAATGTATTATCCCAGAAGCCTGGTGGATGGAATGGAGGAGTTCATCCTGATAAATGCCTGTCCACCTTGTAGCTTCTCAGAAAGTGAAAAATGGTGTAAAAATCAAAAACCTTGTAGGATTTGGGAATAAGTGGCCTTTTGACAAATATTAATATCTCATCCCACTCTACATTTGATTTTTTAATATAAAGAATTATTGGGAATTTAGCAAGTATTACTTTCAGGGTATAAACATTGCTGTTCATATCCTGTAGACAATAAGGAAAAAACAAATCAGTCTCCTGGTGGAGCTAGTCTAGACTGGGAATCAAGGCCATTAGCTACTTAGCTGAAAGTTGAGAGTCTGAGTCCCTGAGCTGGATGACAATAGGAACATTTCCTGAATTCTCTGAGTAACAGGTCCCAAATTCATAATAATAAATACTAATCATCCTGGGAAGTAGTCCTATTCTGAGAATCAAAAACCAAAGTATCTGATGTAGTTTCCAATTCATAGTAATGATTGATTGATTTTTTTTTAAAGCAAGATTTTACAGAAGGAGAATGAGAACAAGAAAGATCTTCCATCCATTGGTTCACTCTCATTTGACCTCAGTAGGCAGGGCTGTGCTGGTCTGAAGCAGGGAGCTTCTTCTGGATCTTGACATGGGTGCAGGGGACCAAGGACTGGGATCATCCTCCACTGCTCTCCGGGTCATCCCAGGAATCTGGGTCAGAACTAGACCAGCCATATACAAACTGGACCATATGGAATGCCACCACTACAAAGAGAGGATGAGCCACTACATCACCATACTGACCCCAAATTTTTCTTTTTAAGACTCGCATGGATTTTGAGAAGAAAGAATAGGATTCATAAACATGTTAGTAGTACCAGTAGCACTTTATTAATTATAACCTACTGATTTTCATGTACCACAGATCACATTCAATAAAGATTGTTAGGAAGTGTATGTTCTAGCGATATTCTTTATTTGTTTAAGGATGTATTTATTTTTACTAGGTAGAATTAGAGGAGAGACAGAGAGAAATATCTTCCATCTACTGTTTAACTCTCCAAGTGGATGCAACAGCCAGAGCTGAGCTTATCCAAAGCCAGGAGCTGGGAGCTTCTTCCAAGTCTTCCATGCAGGTGCAGGGTCCCCAGGATTGGGATGTCCTCAACTGCTTCCCCAGGGCAGAAATAGGGAGCTGAATGGGAAAAAAAAAGCAGTCAAGACACAAACTGGTACCCAAACAGGATCCTGGCGCTTGCAAGGTGAAGATTTAGCCATTCAGCCATTGCACTGGGCCCAACATTCTTTTTCCCAAGGAAGCTAATCATTGTCGAGTTTCATTCTCAAGGTTACTCAGCTAATTGGAGACTTTGATATCATCACGTAGCAGTCCACATCAGTGAATCTGTCCTCCAGTGTTTGGGACACAAGGGCCATCCTGGCTACAAGATAGCAAAGTCAGCATTAGAATGCTCTCATTGGGTAATAGGAGATACGGAGCCTGAGTATTTTGCTTTCCATATCCATCCTGTCTCCTTTTAGTCAACCATCTGCTCTATATTTCCTAGATCACCCATATAATTTATTTTCCTACGTGTCTCTCAGCAAGCACCACCTTGGTTTGGTATAGGTTGAGATGGCACTTGGGCGCTGAAGTTAGAATCTGACTTTAAAGTCAGAAACCTGCATGTAAACCCTAGTGCTGATAACCCTTGGTGATCCATGAGACTGAGATTCTTTTGAGCTCCAGTCATTTTCATGGTAATACGCCCAGATTCCTTTGCCTGGGGAAGGAGATTCAAGCATCTTCCACTGTCCTCCCACGCCACATGCAGGGAGCTGTATGGAAAATGGAACATCTGGGATACAAACTGGTACCCATATGGGATCCTGGTGGATGTGAGGCATGGATCCAGCCATTAGATCATATTGCCAGCCTTCCCAATCACTTTTAAGTGTAGGGTTTATATAGTGAGAAGCTAAACATCTTTAAGGGTAGAAAGTTGTTCCACAGCACGCTGAAGATGATACCAAGAAGTGAGAAAGGACATGTTTCTGTGACTCACACAGCCTTCTTAGCTTGTCCTAAGATGCCTCCGTTATTTTCTGTGGTCTGTGTGCTCCTCAATGAATCCCAAAATGTTGGACATGCAGAATGTATACTTTAAAAAACCAAATTCAATACATGTTCAAAAAAGTTACATTCCAAGTTCTATGCAAACCCCTTCTTTTTTAGATACAGAGTTCAAAAAGTTCAAGTCTCAATGACAAAATGAGTGGTTTATATATAACAAAAATAGGATCATTCTAATGAACTTTATAGAAAGAAAAAGTTGGGAATTCTTTCAGAATACTTTGATATGTTTAAAACAATGTGAAATGATGGTGTTTGGGATCTTGGAAAGTAAGAAATATCTTAAATAGCTCCACGCTGTATATCCCTTTACCCACTGCCACTGTTAATTTTATGAGTTGTTCCAGAAAATAAATGAGGTAAGGTAAATGAAATATTTCATGTTACCTGGTATGTGGCAGTCACTCAAAGTATTCATCTCATCAGAAATATTCCTTTCATAATGGTATATAATGTTAAATAGAAGCATTATTTTCTGATTTCACTTGTAGTAGTTTGTGACTCATACCAAAAGGAGTGAATATGGCTATAGTTACTGCCAAAGCAAAGAAACAGTTCATTTTCTTGAACTCATTATTCCAAAATAAATCTAGATTTGAAATAATTGTGATTGATGAGAGATTTCTAGACGTGGTAGCAATACAAGGTGATTTTATAAATTTGTCCATGAATGCAAGATATTATTCCACCCTTTCTTGTATCAAAGGAATATTACAAATGTGTAAAAAAATCAACACCTTTATCTCAGAGTGCAGAATCCAGCCTTGGCTAAGTTTAATTGAAAAACTAATATTCAGTGCAATTGTCTGTGATAAAGTGATTTGAAAACACTCTGCAGGTAGACAAATCAGATAATCATAATCTTTATGGCTGGAAAGGTTCAGCGGTGCTGATAAGTTGTAAAGATTAAAAGCGGACAGCACTGTCAAGAGCTACGTGTCTGGATTGGCTTGGGGATCAGTGTTAATACTCCAAGCTGAAAAGCCACACTTGAAATGCTTTCTCATGCTTTGCTTACATTTTCAAGATAATGTACAATGTTCTGTGCATTGTACAGAAGCACTTGCTTGTTATGCCATGCAGTGTTGCCTGCCACTTGCTCAATGCTGAGGTACTGGAGTTGTTACATGCTTTGCGCCCCACACTGCAATAAGAGGGCTTTGGCTGCTGTGGCACAGAGCATTTCCAGTTGGTTGAGTTTTAATAGTTTATGAGAGACAAGAGTCAGAAGATGGAATTTGCTTTTTGGCCTTGCTGTGTTTCCAGCCAAGAATGCTTGCAGTTTGCATGAGTTGATTCTGTGCTCTCCTATCACAAGCCCAAAAGCCAGTGGCAGAATGTGTGCTCTGGAGTTGTGTAAGGTATTCACTGCATCGGGCCACCATCAGAGCACTGCGTGTGCCTCCAAGTTATTCCTCCAGCATCTCCAACCTGTTTCCCTTTCTCTTTGGTTCACAGGAGCTGAGGGAACAGTGTTCCCTAAATCTATAGAAACACCTAATGTCAGGGCAGATCCCTTCAAGGAACTCAGGTAAATCTCCGATTTTTGTTTGCATTGAAGAGTGGCTATTTCTATTTTTCTCCACAGCTCGCCGGTGATTCCTTTGGAATAAGTAGTAACAGTGTCACAAAACTGAAAAGCAGAGTGGGAGAGGTTGGAGAGGACCTGGGAAGCTACAGCCAAAGGGGAAAATTATATAAGCACTTAAGAAAATTAAGAATCTATGGCTGAAGATTCTAGTTTTGAGACTGGAATTTAGACTCATGAGCGTGTTTGTTTCTTGCTGTAGTTTATCATAACGAAAACTGATTCTTTCAGAGAACTAGTAGATAATTGGCACTGATAAGCCCGAAGAAAAGTGCTGTCTGGAGAAAACCGAAGTCTAAATAGAACACGTTTTCCTTTGTAATCAGCTCTGCATTACTTGGTGGCGGATTGGATGGGTATGATGCTAGCACCACCATATGTGGATATTCCATGTGCTGAACTAATCTTCAGGTATCAGTTAATGTGCTGCTTTTGCAGGGAGTGACTCAAGATGCTGCTTGCCATCATTAGCTATAGAAAACAAAGAAGAAAATAGTAGAAAGACAGAGCTAGAGAGGTAGCCTGAAAACCACTGTACTCACCAAAGGAACTTCCCACAACCCCCAAACAGAAGCCATAAGAAATGAAACGTTAACCATTTCTATTGGATGTAAATAATCATAAAGTTTTCCCACAAATAGTGCCCTTGTTCATTTAAGGTAGTTCTTTTTGAAACCACTCAGAAATCGCCAAGTGAGTATAAGTAGTGTTGGAACTACTGCGTAACATCAACCATAGACAAATTATTTACCTTGAACAAGGTTATTTGCCACTTCCTTAAGGCAGTGCAGTCTCATGGTCTCTCCTCTGCAAAAGCAGCTGCCATGTTGGAACTTGCATTTGCCTGCACAGAAACATAGTCTCAGGAGGTTGAAAATACAACATCTTGTTACCAAACAAGCCAGTAGCACTTTTTGCAAAGCCTAGAAGTCATTATGAATATAGGGAAATGAATAAAGCTACAGGGAACACAGAGAGCTGTATTTTACAGATTATAACGTTATAACAGTAGTTAACTTATTATTGCCAGCTTAGTTTGGGGCTACTAGACAGTGAAAAGCACCATCTTGGCTGTGAGGAACTCAAGGATGACCTAGGCCTCTTTCTTTTCACAGTCCTCCATGGAAGACATTGCTTTGGTTTTGGTTTTGGTTTTTGTTTTTTTTTTTTTTTTGGAAAACTAGTCAGTACAGAGTATTGATTAGTGAGAAAAAGGGGATGCTGAGAGAAGTGGAAACTAAAAGGCAAAACAGATTCCCCCATCCTTGCCCACCTCTGCGCAGGAAGTAGCTCTTTATTCTGTAGGAGACTTTGTGTGTGTGTGCATGTATCTATAAGTGATGTGTATTATGTAATGTATACACTCACGTACATACATACACACATATGTATGACTTAGACTTGAAAATAAACCTGTAGTTAAAATAAGTCCAACCTTAACCCGACAAACAGAAAGAACAGTGTGACTGCATTAGCCCACTTTTGAAATCTGTATCATTAAAAAAAAAAAAAAGAGGAGAAAAGAGGACAGAGTTTTTGTTCCTAGGCTGCTCTGAATGTATTCATGGTGTCCATATACAAACTTGGAAAAATATTAAATTTGAAAAGTTCATATGTAAATCTACCCTACTACTATGAAATAATCATAAACTTGAAGTAGCAGATGTTTTCATCTTTAATTCTAAAGCTATTGATGTATTCTACAGAGGCTAGAAATAAAATTTTATTTTAGGATGCATAAAAATATTTTCAAATGTAATTCTAAAACAGGTTTTTTGGTTTGTCCCTGATATTCAAATGTAATCAGGGACTTGGGAGGCCAAAATTCAGCTTTTGTAATCCTACTGCGATATTGATCTAAAGGTGAACTTTGTAGGGAAGTGTAATCTGGTAAGTGGTATCCGAATGTGGTTGACATATTGACCTGGGAATTTGGGTTTTAACAGTTGCGCATTTCACTCTGTGCTGTCGTTGAAACTGAGGTTGGATAGAGATGAAATTGGTAATAATTTGTTGGTTAAGTCTTCCGGAATCTGAGTTAAGACATGGATCAGTGTCAGCATGGCCATATTCATGGTAATATGTGTCCCAGATTTAAGGAGGAGTAATTTCAGTGCAATTCTTGGCTTTGTAACAGTAGGTGGAAAGAGTGAGCTGCTGAGGTAAAGCAAAACTGGTATGCTTGTGAGTGGCCACCAAAGCGACAGGGCCGAACGTTGTGGAGCTCAGTTCTCCTGCAAGCCCACATGAGACCTTGACCCGAGTGGAGGCCTGCTGCCTGTGAAAACCCATGGCCCTTGGAGTGGGACAGTGAATCCCCTGGTATCATGGTAACACGATGGGCTTAATAATTTTATATGTAAATGAAAGTTGAACCTTGCATTTAGATTTTTCCCATATCTCTTCCACCTGCCTTTCTTCAGTATTAACATCATATTTATCCAAGTCAGAGCTGACACATTAATATTGTAATCCCATGCCATACATCATGCAAGATTTGCTAAGGAATGCAATCACCCAAATGCCTTATAGATTGAAAACTACATAGAAAGGAGTTTAGCAGAGAAGATATTTATTGACATGTGAATTGATGGGAAACTAGTCCTATAGTTAAGTTGGAAGGCTGTCGGACATTTTTTTTCTATATTCTAGTTTTCTTGTTCTTACTAGTATTGTTGGGAAACAAGGAAAGTTAAAAGAATACACTTATTGTTGGCTTTTGAAATAAATAAGCAGAAGATTAAAAAGCTACATCCCTTATTTACTTAAGCAGTTCAACATGAGAAACTTACATTTATTTCAGAAAGCTTCTCCTTCAGTTAAACTTATGCATCCTCTAACCTCTAACACGACTGCAGGAGGTTTATTGTTTCTGCTTTGGTTTTGATTTGCTTGCATGTTAACAGGAGCCACATTTCGGGTCTCTGTCCATTCCCCAGCAGATCACAGCAGATAGAGAAGGAGCTTTCTCTCCAGTGTAGTTTTGTTTCCTGCTTTTCTTTTCTGACATTATTGTCATTACTGCATTTGCAGCCATCACTGAAGATGTCTGTCAGTCATCCAGAATTGAGCTCAGACTCACAAGAAAGGCTTACTCTCCTCTGCCCAAATAACAAGTGTTACAGAGGTCTGTGGCAAGCACACAGCCGCAGCGCTGCTTGCAGACTTGCGCATGCACGGTGAGCCGTGTCCTGGAGTCAAGTCCTGTTCCAGAATATGCCAGCCACTAGATCTGTCTCTTAAAACTTTTTTAAGACCTTCTTTGGACAGAAATTAGGCTTAAAAAAATTCACAATCTAAAGTGTGAATAACTTACAGATTGGCTTGCTCACTGTTTTTTATCCTGAGGTCTAAAGACAAATGGAGAGACTGCTGATCTCTGGCCGTGTATGATCTGAAACCGGACATCTTTCAGTTTCATAAATGTGTTATTTTTTTTTAATAAGAGCAGAAGCTTTCTTTTAAAACCTATTTTGCTTGAAGGATTCTTTTCAAATGGAAATTTTTCTGATAGGATTCCTTTAATACAAGAATAGCAAGTAGACTGAACTCTTGTGCCATAGATATATATTACGGCAAATAGGAAAAAAAAAAAAGCGGGGGCAGGGGCAGATGTGTATGTAGACGACTCTGCTCAGGTGGCCAGCTCCATTTCTCTGAAGTTCTAATGATTTTGAAAAGAACCAAGTAAGAGCATGACGCCAAAATACCTTCATGCAAGGATCCTTTACAGCCACACTCAGCTGGTACGTTGGTGGGGAGTCTCCCTTTACACACAGTGACTAACATGGTAGTCATCCCCTGTCTCCAGGAGGCTGGATGTGGTCAGCTTGTCAGGGCCGTCAGATGGAGACTACATTGGGAATAGCTATGAGGTTAGACAACCTAGATCTCCAGTTTTTGCACATAGCAGAAAAGGAGAGAATGGTGAGTCCAGGAAGGGCAGGTTCGGGGAGCAGGCTGGGCACGAGCCACCACTGCTCACTGATTCCCTGGTTGCAAGTTCTCACTTTGCTCCAAGAATCTACACAGGATGTGGGCAGGCTCAGAGAAGAGCTGCCTTCATGCCCTTTGGGATTCTTATTTTCCCCAATTACTTTTTTTAGAAGGAGGGATGCCCTGGACTGACCCTATGTTCTCTTACTGTTCCTTGCAAGGAGAGTAACAATGAGGGGGAAGGAGGCTGTAGCTGTATTTTTAGTTCTGGTTTCTGTTAACTTTGCAATCAGGTCAAGGTTACCCTGTGTACTTCCTTATCTCTTTTCTCCTGGCCACCGCAAACATCCCATTCTGTGAGTTAGGCAAATATGTTTGTCATTGATCATGTGTAGAGCTTACTTATGAAAGTCAAGAGTCTTGAGACTGTATGTCCTGACATTTGTTCAAACCTGTTTTGCTCGTGACCCTGTTCTTTTTGTTTTTTTCTCAGACAGCAAACAGTTTTTAACAGTGAGACCGCAAGGGATATGTAAGGTTCAAATACAGAACAAGGTGATAATGGCTAGGATCGAAATTTGATCTGAACCAGAAGAAAAACAGAGCATGGTAAAATCTACCTAGAAGAGGAAGGTAAAATGATCCAAAGAAAGGTACACTTTGATTGAAAGAAGAAAGAAAATACGAAGGCCAAAAAAAAAAAATTAGTTTTAGGAATTAAGAAGTATAGTTCTTGGGCTGGTTCGGAGTTAAGGGATAAGGTCCTACGTATTTCTTTAACTCCCAAACACAATCCCAAGCATTTGTAAAGATGGCAATTTATAACATTTTCCCCTCTAACAACAGTGTCCCGTAATAAATTTTGTGAAGGCAATTTCATCTATATAATCAAAAGATTCTAGAGATTGCTCTAAGTTTCAAAAATGAGCGCATGATGCTATAATAGGACTCAAAACCTCATGAAGTTTAAACTTATTCTGTGGCTTCAATGAGTAAGACCTCACTTT